TAGGATGGACGAGTGTGCAGAATATATATGAAATCATACTATCCCAAGGGGAACAAATAAGTCCCGGGGGGGGTAGAGTCTCTTTCTTCTTAGAAAAGAGAATCCACTCTGCTGAACTTGAAAACGTCATCTCCACTGCTCGCGCAAACATCCCACCCACCCACCCGCAACTTGGTTTGCAAAACCTTTCAAGTCTATTCTCTTTTTAGAAAGGAGAATCCACTTCGACTGCCTGGAAGCTGTCCTCTCCACTGCTCGTGCAAACATCCCACCCTCCCACGCGCAACATGGTCGCAAGACGTCTTGAGACCGTGACGGTAGGTAACAAATAACACTTGGCAACGACACCGACGCCGACGACGATAGCGACAACGACGACGACGACGCCGACGACGACTACGACGACACCGACGACGACTCCGACGACTTCGACGACGACGGCAACGACGACTACGACGACTACGACGACGGCGACGACACCGACGACGACGACGACGACGCCGACGCCGACGACGACGACGACGACGACGCCGACGACGACGACGACGACACCGACGACACCGACACCGACGACGACGACGACGACGCCGACGACGACGACGACGACGACGATGCCAACGACGGGGACGACGACGAAGACGACGACGACGACGACAACGACGACGACATCACCAACGAAGACGACGACGACGACGGCGAGGGAGGAGGGAGGACGACGGCGACAACGACGACAACAACGAGGGAGAAGGGAGGACGGCGACGACGCCAACGACGAAAAACGAGGGAGGACGCCGACGCCGACGACGACAACGACAAGGGAGGAGGGAAGACGACGACGACGACGACGACGACGGCGACGAAATAGGAGGGACGACGACGAGATGCCGACGACGGACGACGACGACGACGACGAGGGAGGAGGAAGGACGACCACGGCGACAACGACGACGGAGACGACGACGACTACGACGACGACGACGACGACGAAGAAATACAGAGGACGACGACGGCGACGACGACGACGACGACGAGGGAGGAGGGAGGACGGCGACGACGACGACGACGACGACGACGCAAGAGCGCGCGCGCACGCTTTTGTTGAAAATCCAAACTGCGAAACCGCGCGTTTTGTATGTTTTTGGGACATTCGATTTTAAAATCCTTCCGAAAACGAAAATTTTTGAAGGATTTCGGCATTTGCCCGCAACGACGCGCGCGCGTGCACTTCGTCCCAGATGTTGCAGAGGATTCTCGCGACGGAACGCGCGCAAGGTCGTCCGGACGATCTCGACATGCGCGCGCGAAGCCCGTTTGGTAGTATTTTCTGGTTTTCTGGGGGGAGGGAACAAAACAAATAAACAAAAAACCTACAAGTTGTCTTAAGATTTCGCAAGAGCGCGCGCATAAGCTTTTTTAGAATATCCGTGTTCCGAAACCCTGTGGTTTTTGTGGAATGGAAACTAGATTTTAAAACCGAAGGTTTTTGGAGGATTCCGGCATGCGCACGCGACGACGCGCGCGTGTGCACGTCGCTCCGTTATTCGCAAGGGACTCTTGACAACTTATGATTTGTTATAAACGAATGCGCGCGCATAGTATTTGTTGCAGAGGATGGCGGAGGGAGGGTCGATACCAGCCCCCCTGGGATAGTGCAAATTCATGTTTAGGACGGACGATGGGGCAGAACCATCTGGAAAATTGCAATACCTTAAACCCAGGGGGGGAGGGTGGTAGAACCTATTTGCCAGAAAAGAAAACAAATAAAATCGATGTGGGACAGCATATGTTATGCAATCTATGTGGTGCAATATATGTGGTACAATGTATGTGGTGTACGTTGTGTGATGCAGGATATGTGGTGCCATAGACGTGGTGCCATATACGTCGTGCAAACTATGTGGTGCAAACAATCACCTGCTCAACTTGAAGCTGTACTCTCCACTGCTCGTTCGAACACCCCACCCTCCCACCCGCACCTTGGTCGCAAGACCTCAAAAGACCGTGACGGTAGGTACCAAATGGAACGTGGCAACGACACCGACGCCGAGGACGACAGCAACAACGACAACGACGACGACGCCGCCGACAACGACTACGACGACGCACACGTCTCCAACGACTTCGACGACGACACCAACGACCACAACGACGACGACGACAACGACGACGACGACACCGACGACGACGACGACGCCGACCCCGACGACGACGACGACGACGACGACGATGACAACGCCGACGACGACGACGACGCCGACGACGACGACGACGACGACGCCGATGACGACGACGACGACGACTACGACGACGACGAAGACGACGACGACGATGACGACGGCGCCAACGAAGACTACGACGACGACGACGAGGCAGGAGGGAGGACGACGACGGCGACGCCGACGACAACGACGACGGAGGAGGGAGGACGACGACGACGCGAACGACGAAGAACGAGGGAGGACGACGACGCCGACGACGACAACGACGAGGGAGGGGGGAAGACGACGACGACGACGACGACGACGATGGCGACGAAATAGGAAGGACGACGACGAGACGCCGACGACGGACGACGACGACGACGAGGGGGAGGAAGGACGACCACGGCGACAACGACGACGGAAACGGCGACGACGCCGAAGAGGACGACGACGACGACGACGACGACGACGACGACGACGACGACGAGTAAAGACAGAGGACGACGACGGCGACGACGACGACGACGACGACGAGGGAGGAGGGAGGACGGCGACGACGACGAAGACGACGACGACGCAAGAGCGCGCGCGCGCACGCTTTTGTTGAAAATCCGTGTTGCGAAGCCCTGTCTTGTTGTATGGTTGTTGGACACTCGATTGTGAAATCCTTCCGACCCCGACAGTGTTTGAGGGACTTCGGCATGCGCGCGCGACGACGCGCGCGTGTGCACTTCGTCCCAGCTGCCGCAGAGGATTCTGGCGACGGCACGCGTGCAAGGGCGTTTGAATGATTTCGACACGCGCGCGCGAAACCCGTTTGGTAGTATGTTTTTTGAACATGTTGAAAAAAAATTGTCTTTGAAAGTTTTCAAATGCGCGCGTCAGCTTTTTTGAAATCACTGTTGCGAAACCCTGAGTTTCTGTATGTGCTTTGGAAACTCTACTTTGAAATCCTTCGGTTTTTGAATGACTTCGGCATGCGCGCGCGACGACACGTGCGTGCGCACTTCGTCCCAATTTTTGCCAGGGGCTCTGGAAAATTTATGAATTTTGATAAACGAATGCGCGCGCATAACATGTGTTTTAAAAGGATGGTGATGGTGGGGGGGGGTCGATACCGGCTTGGCTGGGATACTATGAGCTCACAGGTGGGATGGGCATTGGGTCAGAATCCTATGTGTTTTGCATCGGTTCCCGGGGGATCTTTAATCTCGGGGGGAGGGTGGTAGACCCTATTCCTTTTAAAAAAGAAAATACTTTTTGTTCGCAGTCGGTTGTCCACTCCACTGCTCGCGCAAACATCCCACCCACCCACCCGCAACTTGGTTTGCGAACCTCATGCGGCGGCGATTGCGATGAGAGCTCGGCGCTGGCTGGTGCATCTCTGCGGCCGCGCCAGCCCGCGCATGCGCGCGCGCACCGGCCAGGTAGTTGGGCGCGACCGAAGAGGCCGCGGTGGTGCTGACCGCTCGGCACATCCCAGCGGGCACTTGAGTGCAAGTCGGCGGCTCGGGCGGGCGCGGTATCATGGCAACGCCGACAATTGTAGACACGATGACGATGATAGTGGCGATGTTGGTGGCGACAATTGCAGACACGCTGACGATGATAGTGGCGATGACGGCGCCGATGCCGATCACGCCGACAACGATGACGGCGTCTTCGCGTCGGTGATGAAGGCTTTGGAAGGAATTCGAGATGCGCGTGCGGCAGACGCGCGAAAAGTGGCTCGCATGGTATCATTTGACACGGAGCGTGCCACCCCAGCACGCGCACAAAGGCGTTCGAACGACTTCGACATGCGCGCGCGAAGCCCGTTCTGTTAGCGTTTGATACAAATGTTGAAAACCCCATGGTTCTTTTTAGAATTCGCAAGAGCGCGCGCACGCTTTTTTTGAAAGCCCGCGTTGCGAAACCTTGTATTTTTGTATGTTTGTTGGACACTCGATTTCGAAATCCTTCCGAAACCGAAAGTGGTTGAAGGATTTCGGCATGCGCGCGACGACGCGCGCGTGCATTTCGTCTCATTTGTTGCAAAAGATTATCGAGACGGCACGCGCGCAAGGAAGTTCGAACGATTTCGACATGCGCGTGCGCTCGACGCCCGTTTGGTAGTATTTCCTTTAACATGTTGGAACCCTATGGTTTTCTTAAGAATTCGCAAAAGCGCGCACGTTGTTGTTGAAAAACCGTGTTGCGAAACCCTACAACTTTATATATGTTTGGACATTCGATTTCGAAATCCTTCCGAAACCGAAGGTTTCAAGGATTTCGGCACGCGCGCGCGACGACGCGCGCGTGCAACAGGGGGGGTGCAACGGGGGGGTGCAACGGGGCGGCGGCGACGAACGGTGACCAGGCGGCGACGAGGCGGCGACGGGCGGCGACGGGGAGGCCAGACCGACAACCAGGCCCAGGCGACGGGCGGCGACGAGGCGGCAACGAGGTGGCGATGGGCGGCGACGGGGAAGCCAGACCGACAACCAGGGCCAGGCGACGGGCGGCCACGAGGCGACGACGAGGCTGCCTGCGACGGGAAGCTACATGCTGGCCCCGACAGCCAGGCCCTGTCCCTCAGAACACAAGTAGGAACCCCTGAGTGCAAGCACGATTTGGCAAATGGTAAACTCCCTGGCAAACCAGCATCTGGCGACGGAACTATCGAGAGCAGGGAGGAAGAGCATTTTGTCTTAAGAAATTCAGCTGGCACATGGGACAACCCCGCATGTCGTCATAACTCCGCGAAGCGAAGCCTGGGCGGGACGTGCCATACTGGGAATGATGTTCGACCCGTGCACTTTAAAACATACACGTGTACACTTGGAACCAGGTTTGCAACATCAATGGTCCAAAGCAAACTGCACCATGCTCGTCGAGGAACCATATCTTCCGACGGGACAGGTGGGATGCAGCTCCGGGGCCGAATTTCTGAACAGCCACGGCGGTGCTACGAGAATGCCACCTCTCTAGAACCACTGACGCCTTCGCTTGCACAGACCCCAACGAGGCACGCAGATCACCCACGGTCGTCGGTTTCCTGAACTTGCCCTGGATTCGGAGCACGAGGCCCTTGCGGAGGGCGGGTTCCACGTTCGTCGGCTCAGGCTCGTTCCCAGTGTCGTGCAGCAGCAGCATGCGCCCAGCGAAGTTCGAGTTCTCCACATCCACTGGGGCTGCGGTCGGCGGAAGGGCCCTGCTCCTGTAGGGTCCGTCGTCCTCGTCCTTGCCATTGGGGTGGAAGACGAGCGAGAACGGCTGCAGGCGGCCCTGCGGGGAGCGGGACAGCACGACTGCTCGATCGGGGCTCATGGCGAGGACGGGTAGCCCCAGGGGCACCACCACACACAGATTGGCAGGGAACAGAAATATGTGCACCTTACCCTGCATCCCCCCTTTCACCCTGGGGCCAAGCGAGGGGCAGAAGCTGCAAGCTTCGAGAGAGGCCAGAAACCTGAACGCTTCTCCCACCGTCCAGCAGAAGCCGAGGTCACGAAGAGGTGAGTAGCATGAGCACACTGCTGGCGCTGGCCCAGGACTGCCGGCACTTCGCCGCTCGACATGCGTCGGAGGCGAGCATGGGCAATGCCACCCCCGCGGGCTGCGACCCCCTGCCTCCACGGCACTAGTATACTCAAACCACACAAAGACACATCCCGAGGGCCGCAAGGCGTTCTGGGCGCCTTCGCTCTTCCCACGAAACCGCCACAGGGGATTGGCGCGCGCAGCTGGTCTGGGGAGACAAGTTGGGAGATGGATAGACGGAGCTGCTGGGGGAGAGGGATGGGAACGGGGAGGCGGATTAAGAATGAATGGAGGAGGAGGCGAAGGAGGAGGATGAGGCGAAGGCGGAAAGGAAGGGAATGGAGGAGAAGAGGGGGGGCAGGAGGAAGGGAAGGAAGACAAAGAGAAAGAGCAGGGAGAGGAGTGGAAGGGGCAACGAGATGGGGAGGGGGAAGCTGGGAATGTAGGAAGGAGGGGGAGGGAGACAGGGCGGTCGTAGGTACGCGCGGCCAGACTGACTCGCCCCGATTGGATGGTCTGCCCGGGCCCGAGCCTTCGGCATCTCCGCTGCTTTGTCGTCGCTGGCCTGGCCACCAGTGATACCTTACAGTCAGACCTAAGGAGGACGAAGATATCGTTAACACATCAGCGCCCGAGGCTGCTGCTGAGGTGCTCAGCCGTGGATCGGCAAGGGGTGCCACCACCGAGAACTGAAAAGCTACGACCTGAATCGAAACGGCCATGGTTTGATATCCATATTTGGATCATCTGGGAGGCTCCCATGCAGCCCGTAAGTGGCTTTCCCTCGCAGAACACTATTGTCGACATGCCTGGCACAATGCACGCATGAGGGCATTAGGGCATTGCCTGGCCACAGCATGCATGCAAAGAGATACTGCCAATGGCAATCAGGCATGAAGCGCACTTACAGCATGAACACACGGCTCATGCACACCCTACACAAAGACGCACTACAATAGGCCAGACTGGGGCCCACAGCGCAAAGCCAAAACACAACGGCAATCGTATGCACAGCGAGAGCATCCAGCAGCAGTCACGCATGTGGCTGGTTCGTTAACCTGAAAAATTGCACTGGTGCAATATGCATGAATATGTGGTGCAAGCTACGCGATGCAATCAACCTGTATGTGGTGCGAACGATGTGGTGCAAGCCATGTGGTGCAATCAATGTGGTACCATCTACGTGGTGCAATTCATGTCTGCAGAACTTGAAGTCGCCAACTCCGCTGCTCCAGCAACATCCCATCCACCAACTTCGATGGCAAAGGCCATCCAGCAGCGAAATGACGACAGGACACTTATCATGTATGTCCCTGACTCTGGCAGGCGGGTGATAATGGTGACGACGTCAGCCAAGACGACGGTGATGGTAATGGTGATGATGGCGATGATGACAGGGGCGACGACTACGCGATGACGATGATGATGATGATGACAACGGCGGTGGTGATGACGACGCCGTTGGTGCTGGCAATGTTAATGACGTGATGATGGCGACGTTAATAATCATGCTGGCGATGTTGATGGCGATAGTGCTGAAGAAAATGATGGGAAAGCGCGCGCGCAGAATCACACGCATAATCCCTGGCAGATTGTAATTACATACAGTGGAATGGTAACACCCCCCTACCTGTACACTTTCCTGGCATCAACCCTAGGGAGACCAACCTTTGCGACCCTATCGCGGCAGCAGAAGCTGCTCACCTGCTCATGCACCCTCCCTCGGCTTCCCCCCCGGCCCGCCTCGTTCTGATCGACGTATGCCGGATCGCCGCAGCATCTGAGTGTCCGTCGCTGTGGCTCAAGCTTCCCCCCTGCGTACACATGTACCTTTTCCGCAGCTATCGGCTGCACTTCCCCCCTACGCTCCTGCTGGATGCCGAAGAGGAAGAACAACGGCGGGCCCCTGGCCAGATGGCAGTCCCCTATACAGCACTGCGCACAGGGTCCCTGCGCAGAAGGCTCGCTCAAGCCCTTCCGTGCTCGTGAATGCCCGTGGCTGAGATGGGCACATTTCAACCAGGAGTGGTGCTGGTGGTGCGAGATCTGCCAGAGGTACTGCGACGGCAAGGAACACCTCCTGGGTGAGGACCACTTCAGAGAGGCCGCGAAGCAGAAGGGGACCGGGTGGCCAGATCCCAGGACCTACACCCAGCAAGGCAATCTCTGGACCAGGACGCAAGGATCGACCACAGAAAGAGAACAGGACTCAAAATTGAGAGAACACCGTGGCCAGGATGGGAGCTCCCCGGCCCAGTCAAGGACGGCAGCCGTGCGCACCTACCAGGCTGGACCTTCCCAGAGGACTGGGACTACGTATCTGTCGACTTCCCCTTTCGCGGCGACGAGTTCGACTTCTCCATTTCCACCGACACCATACCCTCGTCCGACTTCCGACCGCCCACCCTATACCGACGCGGATGGGGGACCACCCCATGGCGCACTACAGGGACCTGGGGGGGCACCGGCCCGCTCCCCCCTCACCCAGGTACAGGCGGGCTGCTCGCCCCCACGACCAAGAGGGAGAGACACGCTGGCTCCAGTAGGGCATCGTCGCAAGACCCAACAGATCGGACAGGACAGCCGCGAGGAGACGAGACCAGCTGGGCAAACGACGCACCCCCCCATGCCTGTCGGACGGCACCAGACCCCCCAGCAGATGCAGCAGCCAAGGCGATCATGCAGCTGTTCGCCGTACCCGCAGACAGCCCTGGGGCTCAGTTCCGTCTGCACACCCCCCTGGGACCGGTCCCAGGGGGAGTGAACATGCCAAAGCATTGGGAGCAGGATCTACGACAGAGGGGCTGCATTTTGTCCAGGTTAGCTTGGACTGAGTGCATGGCTGCCACGGAAACAGTATAGGACGGCTCGGCAAAGGCCAGAACAGACTTGGCACGTAAGAAGAGCTGTGCCCTGGAAGTGTCGGTCACTCCCATCAACGAACGGCCCACCTGCCACATCCTTGACAAGTACAACCTTCGCAACGCCTTCCCCCCCAGGACGGGAAGCTGCTCTTGCACCTACAATGGCCAATTGAGTTCAGACTGATGCTCAGAGGACTGGAAGGGGGACAGGACGCGCAGTCACGGACTCTGTTCCTTAGTCTCACCAGCCCGACGGAGGACCAGATCACCACCCTCAAACTCGTGTGGCCCCCGGACTTCGGTGGCTCCATTCCCCGCAACGAGTGCGACGTCAACGGACTAAGGACTGGCTCGAAGTACCCCACCAATCAAGCTCTGGCCTGGTACGACTCCAGCCAGACTGAGGAGCTACTCTCACTCGGTTCAGCCGCAAACGCAGACAAAGAAGGCGGAGTCCTGTACCGAGTGGATAAAGCTCCGTCCAAGCTGCAGTACTGGCGGATCTCTCAAGCCATCAGCGAGATCTACAAGCTGCCACAGGCACCTGACGACCTGGTAGGCGCACCACTCGACGTGATAACGTTCCTACTAAACCACCGCGCAATCGACAGAAAGGACAGGATACGGGCTAACGAAGTGGAGAACACTAGGGCCTGCAGCAGCTCCCTCCTCTCCAGGGCGAGAGCCACGATCGAGGCCAAAGCCCACAACCTTCCCAGCGCAACGGCGGTGGACGGCACGACGCTGCAGCAACAGAGCAAGGAGCCAGCCGACGTCCCATTCACAGACGACGAAGTTGCGAGTGCTACAGGACAAGTACTCCAGCGGGTTCGTAACCTTCCCCCCATCACCAACCTGAACGACGCAGCCCGACGCCATCGACTCAATGATAACGCTTCAAAGGCGCTGGTTGCCACCACCCGACACCACGTCACGGTGGTTCATGGGCCCCCAGGGACCGGCAAGACGCTCTTCTCAGTGGCCACCATGGACGCATGGGCAAGCTCGCTGCCCAAGGGACAGGCAGCGGCCCTCACGGCTGGGTCGAACACAGCGGCCGACCAGCCTGCCATCGGACTCGGACTTGCGAGCGAGGGAGGCAGGCTGGCACCCGAAATTTGCTTCCCCAACAGGTGCGTCAGGCTAGCGAAGGACGCACGTGCGGTACCAAAGATCGCCCCCCTTACTCCAGTGGGACATTCCCCGAGAACCCACAACCGCCCCCCCCCCCCCCCCAAGGAGCTCCTCGCCTTCCGCTCGCAGCTGCTAAGGGACGCCAAGATGATCGTCGCAACCCACGAGGCGGCAGAGTCCCTCAAGCTGGCCTCCCCGGCTGCCCTGCTCATCATTGACGAAGCTGGGCAGGCCCACGAGCTGATGGCGGCAATGTCCCTCGCCAGCGTCATACGTTCTTGCGGACACCTACCGCTGGTCGGCGACCCCAAGCAGCTTCCCCCTACCGCCCTCTCCAGGAAAGCCGCTGACCGCGGCCTGTGCCTCTCGATATTCGACCCGCTACACAACGCGCTAGGTGGGGATACCTCGGAGGTGGTGCAACTGACCCTCTGCTACCGCATGCACCCCCTCCTCCTGTCATGGCCCAACGTGGTCTTCTACAACAAGGCGATACGGACAGGGCTCTCCGACCCACGGGCACAGAGGCCACTAGTGGAAGAACTACCGTGGCAGCAGATACTACCCTGGGACAGCGCTCAGCTCGCCGCACTAGCCACCAAGTCCACCCCAGAGGACCTGGAGGCACTATTGAGGGACCTTCAGCCCCCACCGCAGCACCCGAAGGAGAGACATCGTTTCCTCCTGGTCGACAACCCCTCTCTCGAGGTCTCGTTCAACCTCCACTCAGGATACGCGAATATCCCAGAGGCTGCGCAGACGGTGGATATCGTGAGGGCACTCTTGCCCGCCATGGAAAGGGGGACCACAGTCCTCGTAGTGGTTGGCTATCAATTGCAGTGTGCGGTGCTCGAGAATGGATGGCCCCAGTCAGGACGCAGCATCAGCGGCACCCTGGGACAGGCTAAGACCAGGGAGAAAGGAGCTGGCAAAGGTGAAGCAATCAGAGCGAACGACCCCCCCCCACCCCAACGCACGCGACAGTGATCACAAAGGCTACGAACGTGTGTTCGAGCAATGGAGTCCCCCCTCAATGGCACCGACCTGCGCTTCCAGGGGTTACGTCAGGTAGCAGAGGAGTACCTGGCCAACGGCAGACTCAGTATCTCCACCATAGACTCCAGGAAGGGTGTAGAGGCAGACATTGATCTACCTGACCACGCGTTCCAACTTTTGGCACGACTGGGGCTTCATGGACAACCCCAACAGAGTCAACGTCGCAATCACGCGGGCCACCTCCAACGCGGTCAGAATCGGGGACGGAAGGATGTTCAGCACTGCCACAGGAGCGCATCTCAGGGAGCTCTCCGAGCACGGGAGGATGGCCAAGCTATGGGTCCGCTTCCAGGGGAGCGACATGGGCAACAGAAATGCCCTGCACATCGACCAGGAGCTTGACCCCATCAAGGACCTCGCGACATGGATCCCCCCCGCTCCCCCACACACACACACACACACACACAGGGGGGGGGGGGGGGGCGACAGCGTAAAAGGCCTAGGCGACGCCATCAAGAAGGCCAAAGCCAGGTTGGAGAGCACCTTC